AATGGGGTTGTAGGGTACCGTAACAAATTCCGCCATGATCATGAGGATATAATGTTTGCAATTATTTAGCCCCCTATCACCCGCATGTGCAGAGATTCCTATAGCTTTGTTCCGAAGAGCATGGGTCGACCTTCCATCGGCTTGGGTTGGTTGCGGTTTTGAACGTCACTTCGCACTCCGAAGTGAACCGCCGAGCTACTTACAAGCAAGTCGTGCTGCTGGAAAACCCAAGCTGTCAGCCCTTCTGGATACGTTTCCAAATAGCGGGACCCGCAAAAAAGCGGTTGTTCTTTTGGCTTACCTTTACACCAACTTGAAAAGGGCACCCTGCAAACAGCCCAAACCTTTCCGTTGAGCTTTGAGGAAACCTTTGGCAGTAGTCTAGAGGCTCCCTTCAAAGAGAGAGGCCTAAGCAGGAACCTGAGATGCTATCGGGGGTGTTCTTCCTCATCAGTCAGGCCTAAGGCTTGAGATACGTGCCACCCAGGTGTCTCTTTTGAGGGCACACCCTTCTTGAGTGTGTTCATTGTTTGGGAGGCCAACAGAAAACCACCCGTTTTGTGGGGAGTGCCCACACTTTGAGACAAAACAATGTGCCCAGAACTTACGACCGACACAGCAGAAGCAGTCAACTTAAGGAAAACACCATCTATTGACTCTTGCAGAATGGTCCAAATGGACCCAAGATTGTTGGCGTGGAGATGATGAGAAAGGAGTCGTTACAACAGTCAAGCCAAACCATCCCCTGACCCTCCTCAGAGCAAAGCCATAAATTCTCCCACAACTGACTCATCGACTCTTCAACAGCCCCGCCAGAACTCTTTGCCTGCGCACGTCATCATGTAGTAGGGGTACGGAGGGACCTCTCCTGGCAAGCACGTGACTTGGCCCACAGTTGGGTACGGGAAAATATGTTCTGACTCTGTTCCATTTGAAGGTCTACCCAGTCTACCCTGAAACAGGTGATATGTTCGGGGGGCCCCATGTAAGGGTCGGGTGGCAAAGAAAGATTTACATGCTCGGTTGCCAATAAGGGCAACTAATCGTATTTGGGCAAAATGTTGAAAGTTCCCCGAAAAGTACAGGGGAAAATGAGGGGTTCCTTCCCCCGTGGGGCTTGTGGTTGAAATTTGGTGAGTTACATGTGCGAACCCCAAGTGGACTATATACTGGGAAATATGCACCAAACACTTGTTCAGCGTCCGTTGCATGTTTGTTCGTTGAGACAACCAAGCCCGGCTGAAGGGTAACAAGAAAGAGGCTGTAGACCCAATGCCGTCTTAGGCCAGTACGGATGAGCATACATGGCACAGGCGCCAGTTTAGTTCTAATAACTTACTAGTGCCACCAATTGTAGAAACCGAACCACAGCTCCCTTTTGAAGGGAAACGCCACGAAGGTTGTTTGAACGTCTAAACATGTTTGAACAAGGGCTGGAATCGGCCCCTGACAACAACCCTTGATCTGCGAATTCCGCAATTACCTTGGATCAATCCTGTAAAATCCACGTGGACCACCAAAATGGATTTTGGTTTTGCTTTCGGCTTCAAAAAGGGTACAGAGCCTCAAAATGCACAACTTCAGGAGCAACCTTTCAGGTGGAGTTCACAGAAGGGCCCACCATTCTTCAAAATTCCTCCCCTTCAGGTGTGTTTCCTATCTTCCTGTAGTCAATCGGGGTCTCTTTTTATAGCAACCCTCCCCAAACAAAAACAAAAGTGGGTGCTTCCTTTTGGCTCCCCTTTAAAGCCAAAAAACAACTAAAACAAAACAAGATAAACAACACACAAATCAGGTAAAAATAAAAATAAAAAGAAGCTAAAACAAACGAAAAAGAACACAGCGGTCCCAATGTTCGAAGTCGAGTCCACCCGCCTGTCGCCAGCTTCTCAGGCAGCTCCTTCATGGTTTCGCTGGGCGAGCCACGGAAGTGGTCCTTCGGCGAATCTCGTTGCCCCACCTCGGCGCAGCGTTCGCCGAAAATCTAGCGGACACTTCTTTCCATTTCCAGTCTTCTTGTTCGCCAAAAATCGCGGTGTTCTAGGGGTAGCTTCCATTTCCATTCTTTCCCGGGATCCTTCTTTTCAGAAAACCAGCAGAATCCAAGGGGAAACAGCTGGTTTCTGCAAAGAACTATGGTTAAAAAGAATGGGGAATCAACTCCTAGAAAAAAGCGGCCAGCTCCCACCGCACTTGGAGTGGTTTCAAAAAATGCTTCGATTGTGGATCTGATTGGTGTCCGGGCAAATGAGACAGAGGTTGGCCAACCCCCCGTTACCACGTTTGAGCCATCATTGCTTTAACAACCTCCCTTTCATTTCCCTTTCCAGGGATATTCATGGTCCATTGCTTGAACCAAGTTCGCCTTGTTCGCCCTGTGTCCGCCTTTTTGCGCCTTGCTTCTGGCATGTGCCACCCGCGCGTTTGGGAAAAGCCGTGCGCCTTCAGGTGCAGCAAGCTCTCCGCATCGTCGCAGTTCTCACAGCTCTCGGCAACGGTTTTGTGGGCCAGGAGCCTTCGCAAGCAACCCTTCGGCCCATGGGAAAGTTCTTTTGTAGTTGGAGGGCAATATCGCAAGGGCCAAAACCCATGGACTTTGGGCTACCAAAACGGTGCATGTTTACCTTTTTGGAGTTCTCCTGGACTCTGTTGGACTCTTGCTTGAGTAACTGTAGATTCTCTTTGGGCAACCTCAACATCTAGGGATCCAAGCTTACTGAAAGGGGCCCAGATGGTCAAATGGCGCCGGATTTCCGGAAGCTGGATCCAAGGGCTTCGGGGTTGCTAAAGAAAGGCAATCCAAACGAGTGAAAAGTAGAAGGCACAAATCCCTTTTTGTGGGCAAGTAACGCGGGAATAGTGCCATCTACTTTCATCCCATAGGTGGTTCTACCTAGTTTTACAGGGCAAGATTAAGCCTTGGGAAAAATCCGACATTTGGACCAAGAAACCTCGGCAGAAATTAGGTAAAGGGGTATGAATTTTCCTTGTATTATCTTATGTATGTTCCCTAACTTCACACCACCAAAGGGAGACTCGCTTCGAATTGGTTCGAATGCTGGCTGCGAACATGAACCCACGGAAAATGGTGTTGGGAGCCCTGTTCAAACGGTTTGGGCGATTTGCTGCTCAGTTTGCACCAGGGATTCACTAGTCAAAGCATGTCTAAGGATCATTGTACTACTGGAATTACACGCGGGAAACTGCCTGATGTGGGTTGTTCCCAGAAAAGACTTTGTTAGTCTGAAGTGCTTGCCACTTCAAGTGACGGTAAATCAGAACCCACCTGAACCCGAGGTCCAGCAACATAGTCACTTCACTTCCCAAGGGTGTAAGCCCGTGCAAAAAGAACCTTAGAGCTCACCCAAGACAAGCTGGCTCGCAGGGAATGAAGGAATGCCCACTATAATCCGCTGAACCATCCCATAAGTTCCTTTTAAAGGGATCCCCTTCCGATTTCCCACCCCTACGATTTGCTGAGAACCGATGCTCCCGACTCGATCCAAGTGGCAGCACTAATGCAGCGCGGAGGGTCATTGCGCTCTGCGACGATAGGCTGCACGCTTCACCAAACGCTTTGGGCGAAGATGGCTGAAGCGAGCAAATGGAGCTTTCTCATGGATATGAACCTCCGAAATGGGAAGTGTTCTTTTGATGATGTGCCTTAAAAGCGACATCCAAATCGATCGTTGGAACATCTTGAATAAACTTGAGGTGCTTTTGTAGTTGCAAATTCACTGAGTCCACCATGTCCCGAATTCCACATTGAATATGGACTGCACATGTTCGCCGAGCTTCATGTAAGTTGTCTCGTTGGGCTTGATTTTCTTTAAGGTGTTGCCTGTGGGATCAAAGACGCGCCCAGGCCTTCATGTCTAAAGGAGATATGATTGGCTCTCAGAGGCTTGTGATTGAGCATGCAGTGTTTAGTGCATCCACCATCCTCTGAGAACCTCACTCTGAGAACTGTTTGCCAAAAGTCTAGCAGCTTCAAAGTGACAAAAGGAAACCGGCTCGCTCGCCGCCACGGCCTCTGAGGTACTATGCCTATAAATATGACGCAGAAAAGAAGCCCTCTCGGGTCAGATCGCCAAGCTTTTGTGAAAGGCCGCAAAAAACCTCCGCAGATTGCAGTGAAATGCAACATGAATCCAAGTGCTGGTTCATGAACGTGACACAGAGATTACCATCGGCAAAACCCTGCCGGCTTGTCGTCGAGGTCTCAGCTGGATCGGAACCCGAAAACGAGCTCTGCGATACAGGTCCCTTACCTGGAATTCCTGATTTCTGGCTTACGCACGTACGACTTATAGCAACTTGCCGACGCAGCTGGTACTAAGATTCTTGATTCTGGGTAGCCTAGGTATCATCCGTCTTTGTGTCTTCTGAAGCAAGAAGTCAAACCAACTAGCAGGCACATGTCTGGCTTGTTTGCCGGCAAGAGCAAGAAGGGCAAACAAATGTCCATCTATGACCCCCTTGTTGTTCAATCCACCTGGAACCCCAACACCCTCAGATCCAAACACGGCTTGTGTTTGATCTTGACACATTCCCGCCGCATTTTGTGCAAAGACCATTTGGCCTCAGCCGAGGCCAATTAAGGCCTTAACAGTTGGCAGGGGGGGTGGGGGGGAGGGGTTGTAAGCAAAGCTGCTTCTGCAGAACATCTTTTCTTTTAGCCTGACTCGCATCAATTGTTAGGGGCTTATATTTGGATTGAACGACAGCCAGGTGACCATTTGCTCTGGCGCAATCCAGCCTTAGGAATGGCTGACGGGTCAAGGCGGAGTCCTTGATTCCTGGGTGTGTCCTTTTTCCCGTGTTGAGCCGAGCTCAGCTCGCTTTTCCAAATCCCAAAGGTCAGCCTTAGGACCCCATGAAACCGTGTAGAACCACTCAAACGGACGGGGTCTTGGGCTCAAACGGAACTGGCGATAGCGCCCTTCTGCGGGGGAAAAATCCACACCTTCCCCGGCTTTCCTTTCCCAATGGCCCCCCACGGAGTGATGGCGCTGAAAAACATGGAGATCTGCAACCTCGGACACTTCCCAGTCGTCGAGCCGCGACAAAAAGGGGACTACAAGGGACAGAGGGCTGTAAGGGACTGAGAGGAAACGCACTCAAAGGGGAGTTAACTGGAGCTTGAGTCACGTTGCCACAAAGCCCAACTGGGCTTTTATTTTGGAAGACTATGTCCTCTAAACGGGCACCCTGTTCCATTTCGTCTGTTGACCACTTAGCACCCAACCCACTACCCTCAACAGAAGTTGGGAGGTATAACGACTATCTGGCCACTTTTGCAGTCCCCAAGTATCGATCCTTGGCCAAAACCTTTCTGAAGTCACTGCTACTTGGCATTCCTGCAGTCTACTGAACGATGCGCCCATGAACCCGAAATGTGTGCATAGGTCCTGCTCGGGCAAAGCTTTGCCATATTGAAGCCCGTTTGCTTGTCCAAAAAGCTTGATTGGACAATCTTGCGAAATCCGATTGCAGCGACGTCGCTTGCGATGGCTGCAAATCCAGTGGCAACCGCGGAGAGCCTGCTAAATAAGGGATGGGAATTAATAAACATGTGTATACATATATATATATATATATATATATATATATATATTATATATGTGTATATATATATATGTTTATATATATGTGTTTATATATATACATATTTGTATGTACGTAGACATATGGGAAAGACAGTACTGAAACTGTGCCTTGACTGCAGAAGCCAAGCAGAGCAAGAGATCAAGCCGGCTGCAGTCGAGGATAATTTTGACTGGTTTGGACAATTTGCTTGAATAGTAGTGACCGCCGCCAACGGGAACCAAACCAATCGGGGAACGCCAATCGGAGAACGATGAATCCAATCGGGGAATGACTGTCGGAAACCAATCGTAGAACGTCATGGCGCCAATCGGGGAATGGCCGGGGTCCAATCGGGGATTAATCGTCGACAGGTTTGTTGGCTGTGTCGCTGTTATTCAGGTCTCACGTGCGCAGCCACGTAGCAATTGACGGAGGATCAACGGAGTGACGAAGGATCGACGGAGAATTGACGCAGAGTTGACGGAGGATGGACAGGGAAATGACGCAGAGTTGACGGAGGATTGACGGAGGATGGACTGAGATTTGACGGAGAATTGCCGGAGAATTGACGGAGGATCGACGGAGAATTGACGCAGAGTTGACGGAGAATTGACGGAGCGTTGACGGAGAATCGACGGAGCATTGACGGAGGATTGACGGAAAACTGACGGAGAATTGACGGAGAGTTGACGGAGAAGTGACACGGATGATTGAAGGGGAAGAGATAGGAAAAATGATGGACCACTGTCCGGGGATATTGAAAAATTCGGAGAATTTTCGGGATTTCCCGGACGACGGAGCACTCACGGCCAGCCGGCGCAGAAATGACGGAGAATTGACGCCGAAGCGACGGAGAATTGACGGAGGATTGACGGATTGACGGAGGATTGACGGCAAAGTGACGGAGATTTGACGGAGAATTGCCGGAGAATTGACGGAGGATCGACGGAGAATTGACGCCCGGGGATATTGAAAAAATCGGAGAATTTTCGGGATTTCCCGGCTACGGTGCACTCAGGGTCAGCCGGCGGAGGAATGACGGAGAATTGACGCAGAAGCGACGGAGAATTGACGGAGGATTGACGGATGGACGGAGGATTGACGGAGGATGGACGGCAAAGTGACGCAGATTTGCCGGAGAACTGCAGGAGAATTGACGGAGGATCGACGCAGAACTGACGCCCGGGGATATTGAAAAATTCGGAGAATTTTCGGGATTTCCCAGACTACGGAGCACTCACGGTCAGCCGGCGGAGGAATGACGGAGATTCTCCAGGAATTGACGCCGAAGCGACGGAGATTTGACGGAGGATTGACGGAGAGTTGACGGAGGATCGACGGAGAATGGACGCAGAGTTGACGGAGAATTGACGGAGCGTTGACGCAGAATCGACAGAGCATTGACGGAGGATTGACGGAAAACTGACGGAGACTTGACGGAGAAGTGACACGGATGATTGAAGGGGAAGAGATTAAAAAAATGATGGACCACTGTCCGGGGATATTGAAAAATCAGAGAATTTTCGGGATTTCCCGGACTGCGGAGCACTCACGGTCAGCCGGCGGAGAATTGACGGAGGATTGACGGATTGACAGAGGATTGACGGAGGATCGACGGCAAAGCGACGGAGGTTTGACGGAGAATTGCCGGAGAATTGACGGAGGATCGACGCAGAATGACGCCCGGGGAGATTGAAAAATTCGGAGAATTTTCGGGATTTCCCGGACTACGGAGCACTCGCGGTCAGCCGGCGGAGGAATGACGGAGAATTGACGCCGAAGCGACGGAGAACTGACGGAGGATTGACGAATTGACGGAGGATTGACGGAGGATTGACGGCAAAGTGACGGAGATCTGACGGAGAATTGCCGGAGAATTGACGGAGGATCGACGGAGAACTGACGCAGAGTTGACGGAGGATTGACGGAGCGTTGACGGAGAATCGACGGAGCATTGACGGGGGATTGAAGGAATCCCGGCCAGCAGAAAGAGTCACCTCGCCACAGGAAACCCTAAAAGGAATCCCGGCCAGCAGAAAGAATCACCCCGCCACAGGAAATCCTAAAAGGAATCCCGGCCACACCCCGCCACAGGAAACCCTAAAAGGAATCCCGGCCAGCAGAAAGAGTCACCCCGCCACAGAAAACCCTAAAAGGAACCTCGGCCAGCAGAAAGAGTCACCCCGCCACAGACAGGAAACCCTAAAAGGAATCCCGGCCAGCAGGAAGAGTCGCCCCGCCACAGAAAACCCTAGGAGGAATCGCGGGCAGCAGAAAGAGTCACCCCGCCACAGGAAACCCTAAAAGGAATCCCGGCCAGCAGAAAAAATCACCTCGCCACAGAAAACCCTAAAAGGAATCCCGGCCACACCCCGCCACAGGAAACCCTAAAAGGAATCCCGGCCAGCAGCAGAAAGAGTCACCCCGCCACGGGAAATCCTAAAAGGAATTCCGGCCAGCAGAAAGAGTCCCTCCGCCACAGGAAAGCCTAAAAGGAATCGCAGCCAGCAGAAAGAGTCACCCCGCCACAGGAAACCCTAAAAGGAATCCCGGCCAGCAGAAAGAGTCACCCCGCCAAAGAAAACCCTAAAAGAAATCCCGGCCAGCAGAAAGAGTCACCCCGCCACAGAAAACCCTAAAAGGAATCCTGGCCAGCAGAAAGAGTCACCTCGCCACAGGAAACCCTAAAAGGAATCCCGGCCAGCAGAGAGAGTCACCTCGCCACAGGAAACCCTAAAAGGAATCCCGGCCAGCAGAAAGAGTCACCCCGCCACAGGAAACCTTAAAAGGAATCTCGGCCAGCAGAAAGAGTCATCCCGCCACAGGAAACCCTAAAAGGAATCCCGGCCAGCAGAAAGAGTCACCCCGCCACAGGAAATCCTAAAAGGAATCCCGGCCAGCACAAAGAGTCACCCCGCCACAGGAAACCCTAAAAGGAATCGCGGCCAGCAGAAAGAATCACCCCGCCACAGAAAACCCTAAAAAGAATCCTGACAAGCAGAAAGAGTCGACCCGCCACAGCAAACCCTAAAAGGAATCCTGACCAGCAGAACGAGTCCACCCGCCACAGTAAACCTTAAAAAGAATCCTGACCAGCAGAAAGAGGCGACCCACCACAGGAAGGCCTAAAAAGAATCCTGACAAGCAGAAAGAGTCGACCCGCCACAGGAAACCCTAAAAGGAATCCTCACCAGCAGAAAAAGCCGACCCGCCACAGTAAACCTTAAAAAGAATCCTGACCAGCAGAAAGAGGCGACCCACCACAGCAAAGCCTAAAAGAAATCCTTACCAGCAGAAAGAGTCCACCCGCCACAGGAAACCCTAAAAGGAATCCTGACCAGCAGAAAGAGCCGACCCGCCACGCCCTAAAAGGAATCCTGACCAGCAGAAAGAGCCGACCCGCCACAGCAAACCCTAAAAGGAATCCTGACCAGCAGAAAGAGTCGACCCGCCACAGGAAACCCGAAAAGGAATCCTTACCACCCGCCACAGGAAACCCTAAAAGGAGTCCTTACAAGCAAAAAGAGTCCACCCGCCACAGCAAGCCCTAAAAGGAATCCTCACCAGCAGAAAGAGTCCACCCGCCACAACAAACCCCAAAAGGAATCCTTACCAGCAGAAAGAGCCGAACCGCCACAGGAAACCCTCAAAGGAATCCTGAACACCAGAAAGAGTCGACCCGCCACAGGAAATCCAAAAAGAAATCCTGACCAGCAGAAAGAGTTGACCCGCCACAGCACCAGCAGAAAGAGTCGACCCGCCACAAGGAAAACCTAAAAAGAATCCTCACCAGCAGAAAGAGTCGACCCTGCCACAGAAAACCCTAAAAGGAATCCCGGCCAGCAGAAAGAGTCACCCCGCCACAGAGAACCCTAAAAGAAACCCCGGCCAGCAGAAAGAGTCCCCCGGCAAAGGAAACCCGAACAGGAATCTCGGCCAGCAGAAAGAGTCATCCCGCCACAGGAAACCCTAAAAGGAATCCAGGCAAGCAGAAAGAGTCACTTCGCCACAGAAAACCCTAAAAGGAATCCCGGCCATCCCGGCCAGCAGAAAGAGTCACCCCGCCACGGGAAATCCTAAAAGGAATTCCGGCCAGCAGAAAGAGTCACCCCGCCACAGGAAAGCCTAAAAGGAATCGCGGCCAGCAGAAAGAGTCACCCCGCCACAGAAAACCCTAAAAGGAATCCCGGCCAGCAGAAAGAGTCATCCCGCCACAGGAAACCCTAAAAGAAATCCCGGCCAGCAGGAAGAGTCGCCCCGCCACAGGAAACCCTAAAAGGAATCCTGGCCAGCAGAAAGAGTCACCTCGCCACAGGAAACCCTAAAAGGAATCCCGGCCAGCAGAAACACAGGACACCTTAAAAGGAACCTCGGCCAGCAGAAAGAGCCATCCCGCCACAGGAAACCCTAAAAGGAATCCCGGCCAGCAGAAAGAGTCACCCCGCCACAGGAAATCCTACAAGAAATCCCGGCCAGCAGAAAGAGTCACCCCGCCACAGGAAACCCTAAAAGGAATCGCGGCCAGAGAAAGAGCCGACCCGCCACAGGAAACCCTAAAAAGAATCCTGACAAGCAGAAAGAGCCGACCCGCCACAGCAAACTCTAAAAGGAATCCTGACCAGCAGAACGAGTCCACCCGCCACAGGAATCCTTACCAGCAGAAAGAGCCGAACCGCCACAGGAAACCCTCAAAGCAATCCTGAACACCAGAAAGAGTCGACCCGCCACAGGAAACCCCTACACCAAACCCTGAAACCAAACCCTGAAACCTAACCCTAAACCAAACCCTGAGTCATTCCTGCACAACCACAGCCATTCGCGACTAGCTGTTGATATTCGCGGATAGGTCCCGCGTCAATCGCTGATTGGCACGCGTGTGTTCGCAGATTGGCCGTCGCTGATTGGGAGTCGCCGATTGGGGGCACTGTTCGCTGATAGGCATTTCCCCGCCGCCAACAGGGCAGAAGGATTTTGAAGGGAAGAAAGATTACCCTGAGCTCCCATGCAGTACTCAAGCGCAACTTTGGAGAGTCGCTCGGGTGCCAAACTTCGGCCAGCCGAATTCAGGTCAAAACCAAGCTTGGAGCTTGACGGCTGGCAACAAAGGCTCATTCCTGTTTTCTTCCCGCTGGACGTGCGTCGTGCGTCGTGCGTCGTGCGTCGTGCGTCGCTGGGCATTGTCCTTCTGTGGACCCGAAACCGGTAGTGTGAACCGCAGTCGCATTGAAAGGGCAGCTACGCAAAATGAAGATCGAAGGGCCAAACTTCAAAACACGAGACGGTCAAAGTCATTTTGCTCCCTCACATTCGCAAAAGCTCCGGCTCGTCCCTGGGTTTTGTGGAACCGAAATTGAGTGAGTTCTCCCATCCCAAATGGACCACTGCGCCCGTCATTTTGACCGAACTTGACGTCTGTCAGGTAAAGCATAAGGAGGGCCGCTGGTTGCACAGCTGGGCACCCGCGCGGGATTCCGGGGGGCTGCCCTTGCCTCGGATGTTGAAACCGATCTGCATCTAAAGCATCCAAACCATCCGACCCATCCAAACGCACATATGGCTGTGGGTCAGTAGGTGAATTCACCACCCATTTTTCTGTATTTTAGTGGGGATTGGGATGTTCACTGGGGGCTAACCGGGCTTTTGAAAAGCCCATGGCCATATCCTTTTAAACCCCCGTCCCAACCATCCGAGGGCTCCCCCAAGTTTGGGATGCCGAAGCCGCTCCGTAAACCAAGCATGGTCTGAGGCCTCCAAACCCCCAAAACCAGACCGCCCCAAAATGGGCTCTCAAACATATGGGTTCCAGGATGCTACAAATATGCTTCGGTGCAGGAAGCCGGCAGCCATCCATCTCGCTGTGGAAAACCGACGCTGGGAGCAGGGGCCTAACTGGTTGGGATTTGTTTGTGGGGTACGATTCAACCAAATCATAGGAACAAAGGGCTGATGTTTTGGCCCCTCATACGCTTAAAGGGAAAGAAAAGTATGAGCTCAACAACATCGTGGGCAACTAGTTTAGAGAGGCTGCCCGAGAAACAGGTTATGCTAAAAGAAAGTCTGCCCCACTTGGCATGTTAAGCACGAACAAATCCAAACGACACTAGTGAACATGCCTAAAGAAGAGATTCCATTTGGGCGTGCTTGGAGGGTACCCTTTTCACCTTGTTTCAAATGGAAATCAAAAGAGCATCACAGTTTCTAGGGTCCGCTTCTTGACAAATACCCATGGATCTGTTCACTTGGCGGCGAGAGCACCATCGGGTACAGCCAAGAGGAGAAAAACCAGCTGGGTACCTGCAAAAATGAGGTGAAATCTGAGGAAAACGGTCAGGAAATGAGTGCGTGTTCCTTTGGTGGGCTGCCTTTCAGAATAAAAACGAAACTCAAGGGAAGCCACCCCCCCCATATTTGGAGGGAGAGTTCAACTGCATATTTGGGCAACCCCAAATGGGTTGCAGAAAATCAGCTCCTTTCGGTTGCTGCGCACATGATTGTCCTGTGCAAGAGATCGGAACCCGTGCAAATTTGAACCCATTGAGTTCGGGTCCCCGGACATATGGGTAGGCTCCCAAAAGCCAACCGCTCCCAACTTTTGAGGCGCTGGCTCATATCCATCAGCCTGACGGCTTCAAACCAAGCGGAATCGCTTCGGACGTGGTTCTCATGGAACGGGGCAGATGGGGCGAACAAATCATCCCCAGCCCGCTGAAACCAAGGATTCGGAAATGAAATCGAGCAGGATGCTAAGGTGAGCTTCGGGCGCTCGTGAATGTTTGAGTGGTTCGATTTAGATGATTGGGATGGGTACGACACTCAGGACAGGGGCCCTGATTCTTGCTTGGTTTAAGGGAAGCCACCCCAAAAAAGTCTGAATAAGAACTCAAAGAAAAATAAATCACCCCCCGCCCCCCCAAAAAAAAGAGAGACGCAATTTGCTTAGAAGCCCTCCAAATCCAAGCACTCGAGGCCCGCCTCGACGGAGAAGATTTTGGCCACTGCATGCGCTGTGGACGCCACCTGCCACGAGAACTCTCGAACGCCCTGGGAGTGCACGTCGTGTGGGCTGAAAAAAAACCCAAAAAGATGTGTTGAGGCGTCCCTTTGGATGCAAAAAAAAAACCGTTTGGGCGGTTTCCCTTTGGATCCTTAAAAAAAATTCATGTCTGTGTGGCTTTCTGGATCCCCTGTTCAACCACCCCACGGGTGGTTTAGCACAGAGTGCCAGCTGTTTGCGGGAACCTTGGCTGGGGTAAAAGGAACCAAAAGCGCAAAACCACCTCTTCGGTGAGATAGACCCACCTGTTTTCTCAAAAAAATGACACATACCCATTTGGTTTTGGGCAAATTGCTCTATATAACTTGAATATACTAAGTTGTGCTCGGTGCCCCAGGTGAGCTTCTTACAACTTGCCCTGTTGGCGGTCTCCCTTGACGAACTCAGGCTTCCAAGAGTGTGAATTCCAGGGCGTCCTTTGCTCGAAACCGCTGAGAAAATCCCTATTGAAGAATTCATAGGGACGAAAGTGGGTTTGCAGGTCCCTTGGAAACAAAAACCAAAAAGGCTGAGTTCTCGAGATCAAAAGTTGGGGTCGGGAAGCCGACTTCCCGGCCGAACCCGATTTGCCGTGCCTCCTGTGGCTTAAAGTAGGTGAGGAAGGCAAGGCACCTCAGGGATACTTGGAATCTGCGGGTCTCAAACGCGCAAGAAGAACCAATCGCAAGACGTACAAATTACCGGCTGTTTCCTAGGTCCCCCAGTAGTGCCCTTTTACCGTTTCTTTTTTGGGGGAGGGCCCCTACTAAAATAGACAACAAAAAGAAGTTGGTACCCTTATTCTAACCTCCCTACTGGAGGACCTAGTTTCAAAGGGCCGGAGCCCCAAGCGAACCCAGGCTCCGAGCTGTGGGATCATCTGCAGGGCTGCCTGCCTGGAGAATGAGATGCGATCGGATCGGATCAACGGAGAAACACATGCAGATATGTATATATATATATATATACATTATATACATATATATATATAGATACAAAGGGTTGGTGTATATATATATATATACAAAGGGTTGGTCCCCGAAAATGGCGCCCTCAAATGGTGGTATATGTTTTGGTGTCCTCCCCAAAAACTGTCCCCAAACTGTGCTATATGGTTTCTTGTGCAACATGGTGGTCTCCGAAAGTGGCGACGGTGTCCCTCTGCTTCCCGTTGAATGCCAACCAAAGCCCGAATCACCATTCCAAGCAACTCACATGTATACACAAAAAGTGTTCATTTGCGGGTACCCTGTTGTTGTTGGTGGTGCTACCATGGAGAACAAAGAAAAACCACCAAAACATGTGTGCATATACATTGCGACAAATATACAAAAAGAACGTACATGCGTACATCGTACATATGTATATACATAATTTCACGTATACATATATATATATATGTGTGTTTGCATATAAATATATTATAAGTACCTAAATGCACAGTTTCCCGTACACACAATTATGCATCCAAATAAATATACATACGCCTATACATATATAGAAACATATCTACATTGTTGCATATATATATATATATATACATCACATAAACAGGAATACATAAATACGGAGATACATATTCCCACAAATACGTATGCATATACAGATGTTAAGTTCTGGGAACAGCGAAGCAAGGAAGCCAACGCACAAGCAAGCACCGTTTTCCTGAAGCTCGTTTGGCCGCGTCAGTCAGACCCCGCCGCAAACTGAGCACCAGGGAACAATAAACCGCTGCCACTGCGCTGTACCCGCATTTGTTTGTTTGGAGGCCAATTAGAGAACAGCAAGTCGGCTCGCAAAAGCACCGCCTACCCCTGCTGGTGAGCCCACGCTTGTTTAAACTGATGCGCCGGCACACCTGTGTCTCGGCAGGCGTTGCCTGGGCCTTTTGTCAAATCTCCTCACAGGTTCAAATCCAATCTTCTGGAATGATAAAGCACGCAGAGATCCTGTCCAGGCTCTCCGCCATGTGGTTCGAGGCTCGGTGCCGCTTGCAGAGACTGCAGCACAGCCACTGGAACAATAATTTACAGAGACTGCAAACAAGAACAAATACATGTCCGTGACGCGGGTATGTCTCCAATGCACAGAATGCACTCATACAGACCTACGACATATCGTGTAGATGCAGCCCAACCTCGGGGACTCGGGGACGTGTGTGGTGACCGCCCAATAAAGACAACCACCACAACAACAACAACAACAACAACAACAACAACAACAACAACAACAACAACAACAACAACAACAACGACAACGACAACAACAACAACAACAACAACAACAACAACAACAACAACAACAACAACAACAACAACAACAACAACAACAACAACCACAACCACAACCACAACCACAACCAAACAAACAAACAACAACCAGCAACAACAACAACAACAACAACAACAACAACAACAACAACAACAACA